TCACCGCCGACTTCGAAGGGTGAACATCGCAAGCTGCCTGCTCCTCTCTCCTCTCAAGTGTGGGTCGTCCATTACATTAATCATGGCCAGTGTGATCCGCCGTGCTCTGGTCCTTGGTAAGAGCCGACGCAAATACGAGGAAGACATGACATCAAAAGGACCTCAACGTTACTGAAGGTGGACTGAAGTAAGATCCTGCCATCTTAGACCTGCTGAGCGTGGACTGTGACTTCACGGGTATTTTGTTGTAACAAGAATTGTCAAAGATAATGTTTTGGGTTTGAATAAGAGGTAAATTCACTTATTTTTTACTAAGTGGGAAAAAATAAATTCTAAGGACTTTGTTCAAATGAACGAAGAAAAGTCGCAGAATGGTGTATATCAAAGATAACGCCCATTACGTTCTATGATGTTGATTACAGTGGAATACTTCTCGAAATGCGATCGTGAAAAGTGACGTTGACCAAAACATAAAAGCATAAAGTCTTCCTTACTTCATAATACTAAATCTTTTGTCAGCATTTCAGTGTTATATTCTTCCGTATACCAAAAATATTCCATTGCTTAAATCAGTGGTGAGAGGTGATATGATATAATTTTAGGACTCTTTCTTCCCATATGTTATAGCAACTTCACGTCGACCATACTGCCGGTGTTAGAAAAGGAGGGCCTCTTCCGTTTTCTTGACTACTTATATGTACATATATATATATATATATATATATATATATATATATATATATATATATATATATATATATATATATATATATATATATATATATATATGTATATATATATGCATATATATGTATATATATGTGTATGTATATATATATATATACATATACATATATATATATATATATATATATATATATATATATATATATATATATATATATATATATATGTATATATATATGTGTGTGTGTGAATATATACATATATATGTAGATGTATATATGTATATATCTATGTCTATATATATACATACATACACACATACATACACATACACATACACACACAAGCACACACACACACACACACACACACACACACACACACACACACACACACACACACACACACACACATATATATACATATATATATATATATATATATATATATATATATATATATATATATATATGTATATATATATGTGTGTGTGTGTGAATATATACATATATATGTAGATGTATATATGTATATATCTATGTCTATATATATACATACATACACACATACATACACATACACATACACACACAAGCACACACACACACACACACACACACACACACACACACACACACACACACACACACATATATATATATGTATGTATATATATATATATATATATATATATATATATATATATATATATATATATATATATATATATTTATATATATACATACATAAATGAAAGCGGGGACGAGAGAGTGAATTAGAAGAAAATGCACGTTTTCCCAATCTCTCTCTTATATATATATATATATATATATATATATATATATATATATATATATATATATATATATATATATATAAATATATATATATATATAATATGCATGTATGACTGCAACACATTTACTGAAATACAACAGACAGGATTTAGTGACAAGACCTAGTCACGTTTTTTCTTTTCCAGTTTCCAATCTTTATTTATTCATTTTATTATTTTTTTGGTAATTACCAGACTGTCATACCTTTTCTAAACAGTTACCTTCTTTGTTAACTTTAAAACGTTCTTCTTAGCTTTCATCTTTTCCAAATCCATAAATTAAAATAAAAAGGATTTACTTACCAGATACCCAAACTCTTTTCAGTCTTTTTATCATTTTACTTCTAGCATGTTAACTGATTCTAGCACATGTCCCTCATCTCTGTCGCTTTCGTATTCCTTAGCCCTCTTCGGAGTGGCTTCCGCTGCTTACCTCGGAGACCTCCAGGCTCAGCCCTCCAACCAGTTCTCCTCCTTCTCCAACGGCAACGGGGGCTACGGGGGTAACAGCGGAGGCAATAACAACGGGGGATACGGCGGCGGCAACGGCGGCGGGAATGGCGGTTTCGGCGGCGGAAACAACGGCTTCGGTGGCGGAAACGGCGGTTACGGAGGAGGGAACGGCGGCGGTAGTGGAGCTGGATACGGCAACGGAGGAGCAGGAGGCTTCGGCGGAGGAAACAACGGAGGCTTTGGCAACGGAGGAAACGGGTTCGGCAACGGAGGACGGAACGACGGAGGCTACGGAGGCGGAGACCCCATCGCTGACCTGGCCGACGCTATCCCCGGTGGAGGCGTCCCAGGACAGGACTACCCCATCCTGGCCTCCGTCCCCGCCACCGGCTTCTCCTGCGACGGCCAACAGCCTGGATACTACGCTGATACTGCTCCCGAGGCTGGATGCCAGGTGAGTGTCAAGTCCCTCATAAACAGGGAAAATCATCGAGCATACAAAGAAAAAAACAGGCGAATCGCTCTAAAGTTCTATGTACAGTAATATTCGATAAAGCTAATATCAATGTAAGAGTGCCTAGCTGCAACACCTATGGTCCTTTTCTGCCTTCTTGTAGACTAGGTATGTTTTGGTCGATAGCCTTTGTTCTTCCTGAAAAGTATTTTAAAATGCTAATATCTTTTACATTAATTTACTGTGTGGATGTAGTGTTTTAAAGTCCATATTATTTTGGTAAATATTCGTTAGTCTTTCAAAAATCCAATTTAAGACTAGTACATTTTCTTTATTTTTTCTTCTTCTTCTTCTTCTTAGATTTCTCGTTCTCCCTTTCTTTTATCTTTGCTTCTTGTATGATTGGCCATCCTGATCTCCCTTCTCTGTGTATGAAAATGGCTTTTCCTTTTGCTCAGGTGTTCCACATCTGCCAAGAAGGAGGCAGGATGGACTCCTTCCTTTGTCCCAACGGCACAGTCTTCAACCAACAATACTTCGTGTGCGATTGGTGGTACAACTTCGACTGTTCCACGGCTGAACAATTCTACGGTTTGAACGCCGAGATCGGTAGAGTCGACAACGGTAACGGAAATGGCTATGGCAATGGCAACAATGGCTTCGGAGGAGGCAATGGCAACACTGGCTTCGGAGGAGGCAATGGCAACACTGGCTTCGGAGGAGGCAATGGCAATAACTTTGGCAGAGGCAACACCGGCTTCGGAGGAGGCAATGGCTATGGCAACGGAAACGGCAACAACGGAGGCAACTTTGGCGCCGCTTCTAACCCTCAAGGATCGTATTCAGCTCCCGGTGGTAACAATGGCAACGGTGGATCTCCTTCTTCTTCTTACAACACCCCTAGGCAGAACGGCAACGGCAATGGCAACCGGAACGGCGGTTATGGCAACAGAAGCAACGGAGGATTCGGTGGCAACGGGAATGGCAATGTCCAAGCTCCTTCTGGACTGTACCAAACCCCAGGAAAGTAAAAGAGACATTTGTACCTGAACGGAAACCTTTATCTAGGTTTCCTGAATGAATCCCGGTGATTGATGCGCTAAACAGATTTTGTATCTTATCATGTCAGAAAGTATTTTTGTATAATCGCTTTAATGGTTTAAGTGGAATCGGTGCGAAAGCCTAGCGTTCACCACGTACTCCACAGGAAATAGAAGGATTTATACTGAATAGATTTACGTTCTCACGCACATGCACGCATGCATACACGCACACGCTAACACTCACACACACACACACACAAACACACACACACGCGTACACACGTACACAAACACGTACACGCAAACTTTCGCAGAGACATAATATCTATATATATATACATAACCAATACACATATATATACATATATATATCTATTTATGTATATATGTATATATACTTTTGTATAAAAGCTTATCTCCTAAACCTCAGGTCTATTCTTCTTTTGATCAACTTCATGCTGCTGAAATTCGTTTCCCACCTTTGGTGCCATATGTTGTAGATTTGTTATCTATATATCTCTAATATTTTATACGAGCATTACGAATAAAGCCCAAAAAATATAAATTGTAATGTTTTCTTTTAGCCAAACCTTCTATGTAACTGTCTATATATATGTTTCTACCAATCTAAATATCGTTCTCTCTTTGCTATATATATGTATGTGTATTTATACATACATACATACATACATATATATATATATATATATATATATATATATATATATATATATATATATATATATATATATATATATATATATATATATAGGCTGAAAGTCCGACTTGGTATGTACCAGAAAAAGATTAAGATCATGCTCAACAGTGGAGTTCAATTCGAACAAATACATGTACAAGGTGAAGGAAAACAGCTACAGTAAGAAATGCGGCTGTTTTCCTTTGTGTACACGTTACAGTGCTTTTGTTTGTGTCATATAATATATATATATATATATATATATATATATATATATATATATATATATATATATAGACACACACACACACATACACACACACACACACACACACACACACACATATATATATATATATATGTATATATATATATATATATATATATATATATATATATATATATATTTTTTTTTTTTTTTTTTTTTTTTTTTTTTTTTTTTTTTTTTTTTTCAACAGCCATTCATTCCACTGCAGGACATAGGCCTCTCTCTGTTCAGTATTGAGAGGTTATATGGCAGTGTCACCTTTGCGTGATTGAATGCCCTTCCTAATCAACCGCGGTTCGGCGCGCTGACACTTGTGCCGCGGCGGTGACCTCCCATACGACACCTGCGTTTGACTTCTCAAGCCGATATGTCGTTTTCTCGGGCTGGAGCCACTAGTCAGAGCGCAGGCATTTTTGCGACTGCCGTGACGGGGAACTGAACCCGGGACCACGAGGATCGGAGTCCAGTGCTCTAACCACTGAGCTATCGCGGCAATATATATATGTATATATATATATATATATATATATATATATATATATATATATATATATATATATATATATATATGTATATATATATATATATATATATATATATATATATATATATATATATATTTTGTATGTATATATATATATATATATATATATATATATATATATATATATATATATATGTATATATATATATTTATGTATGTATAGATATACATACATATATATATATATATATATATATATATATATATATATATATACATATATATGTATATATGTTTAAATATATATATATATATGTATATATATAAATGTTTATATGTATATATGTAAATATATATATATATATACATATATATATATATATATATATATATATATATACATATATGTATCTATGTAAATAAATATATGTATATATATATGTATATATATATATATATATATATATATATATATATATATATATATACATCCATGCACACATACATATATATATATATATATATATATATATATATATATATATATATATATATATATATATCAACCCTGAGTTCAACCCTGAAAACCAGCGAAAGAAAGAGTGAAAGAGATTGGGGGGGAGGGGTATACGGCTACAATAGATATACAATAGTTATACCTAAAATCGAACATCTATACACGTAAAATAAAGAACATTTTCTTTGATCCTTCATGGGATAACAAATTCTCTCTCTCTCTCTCTCAGCCTCCGGGCTAGTACAGTGGTAACGTGTCGGCCTCTCATCCGAGGGGTCGGCGGTTCGCGCCCCGCCCAGGCGCGAGAAGTTGCAATTGTCGCCTGGAGGTTACTGCTGTGGCTGGGCACCACGGTGGGTAAGGACTAAGCTCACCCGAGTCAGCACCTGCTGACACACTGTTAGCGAGTCGACATTAGTCGGCACAGGCCGGGCTCCCCCATAGCCCGGGCGAAGCTCAGCTTCGCATATCGGACTTATATTATCTCTCTCTCTCTCTCTCTCTCTCTCTCTCTCTCTCTCTCTCTCTCTCTCTCTCTCTATATATATATATATATATATATATATATATATATATATATATATATATATATACATATATATATACATATATACATTTATATATATATATATATATATATATATATATATATATATATATACATTTATATATATTATATATATATTTATATATATACATATATATATATATACTTATATATTTATATATATTATATATATATTTATATATATATATATATTTATATGTTTATATATATTATATATATACATATATATATATATATATATATATATATATATATATATATATATATATATATATATATATATGTATATATATATATATATATATATATATATATATATATATTATATACTTATATATATTATATATATATTTATATATATATATATATTTATATATATATATATATATATATATATATATATATATATATATATATATATATATATATATATATATGCGTGTGCGTGTGCGTGTGCGTGTGTGTGAAATACAAACTAGAGGACCCACAAACAATTAGTGATGTAATAAAACCGTATGCAGTCGAAACTATCCGACTATAAAATCAAAACAACCAGAGAAGTTTATATCATTATATATCAATGGCAATAATACCATTATAAAATGAATGTCAGCAGACTTGCATATAAATTAAACTCAAGTACGTTTTTATTTCGTTTCGATTACAGTTCAAGCTAAAGATATATGTATGTATGAGAATGATATTTTTTCAGCTATAACCTGAAGATGATGGGACGACCAGAGGAATGCTAGAGAGGACATTTCTGTAAATCATCTGTGTCGTGAATTGTTTAACTAAAATTCAGATAATATCTTGACGATTATTTTCCTTCAAAGGGGTCGCTTCATCCTCAACCTTTTCCAGCATCTCTTGAAGGATCTCGAATGAAATAATGAACAGGAGAATCAAGAGCATGGATGTACAAGTTGTACTATATATAGGCCTATCTCGAAATGACTTCTTATCGGTTTCAGGTCCTAAAGATGACCAAGACTAGTACAAAGAAGGACGATATAGCGTGAGTACCAGTTGCTTCTTTTTCAACATGCCCGGGTTGCATACGTTGAATTCGTGCAGCTTAGCATGGAGGCTTTGGAGTTCCCTCAAGGAGACCGTCATCTGCGTAGGAAGCGGTCAAATGGCTCATACAAGGATAACATTACAGTATATGCCAATTCGACAATAGCTGTAAGATAATATAGAGGTTCTATTTCCTTGAAAGCCATATGGAAAGAAAATCTATATAACCACCGCGAAACTCGCTTACATGGATAACATGACAAAGTATTTCTCTCTGCAGTGATGAATGTTAACCGTTATCACTATTGCAGAAAATTATAGTGCTTAGTACCCATCGTCATGAACAATAAGTTTTCTGTTTAGTGTAGTTGGTACGAAGCAAGGAGTGCAGCGGCCTAAAATTAGTTGTTTGGCAATCGACTGCGAATAAAGTAATTGATGATTCTTTCCTTGAGTTAAAACTTATCATATTTT